TATTTAATCCATCCTCTGCATTATGCTCATGTATTATGATCGTGAGAGAACTCCTTTTGAGCTGCATGAAATATATTTTTCAGAATGTTAAACAAGAACAAGCATGTCTCATGATGACTAGCAATGAAAACCTAATCATTTGTGATTGAAGCAATCTTAATCCAGAAAGCACAACATCAAACCTTGGTATAGTTCCATGGCGACGTGCATCATACTCTGTTGCTTGTCGAAGAGCCCTAGCAAAAGCCTTAAAGGTTGCCTCAATAATGTGATGAGAATTCTTTCCCGCAAGCTGTGTTTGACCATGTTGAAATGTCATGACAAAACTTGGAAGCAAAGAATTAGAACAAAAAATATAAAACCCTTATAGCTATTTATGATAAGCAAAGAGTTATTTGCACCAATGCAAAGTCCAAAGATAAAAAAGAAAATTGAATAAGTACACTAAGGAATTGAAACTAGATCAGATGCAAGAAGCTCTCAGAATTCCTACCTGTCGTATGTGAAGTGTCATGCCAGAAGTATTCACCAAAGACTGGAAAAAGTGCTCCACCAACTATGAATAGAAGAGTTTCAAAAATTAATCAATCAGTCAAGGCAAAGGAAAAAAAAATGCACAATTTATCAAAGAATTTCAGCAGATAACAAACTTCAAAGAGGGCAGAAAGGCAGGAAGCAACAGCTTGGCAGACATTATAAGCTGTTAAATCTCTGCATAAGTTTCCACCATGGCCTACACAAAAACTGACACAGTAGAACTTAAAGAAAGAAAATTTGGTAGATTACCTGAGTGTCATACGTCCCAACTCTCTGAGTAGGAATGTCTAGATCAAAACTTAAATGTGGTCGGCCAGATAAATCCTGGAATAATAACTAGATAATGTTATTCTGAACTTGCAAGAGAATGTTGGTGCAAAATTCTTTGAAAGGACTAATTTCAGTTAAGTGCAACCAGATGACAAATGCAGCATGCCAAATCATGTCAAAAGCGATTGATTTCCCGCATTTTGGAAGGAGACTGCAAGATTTTAAAAGCAGATTCTCATTATTATAAAAAAGAGCGTTGGGGATTTCTTTTTATATATTCTTATTAATCATTTCCCAAAATAATGCCTGTATGGAAAGCTAGCTGCTTCACAGAATTCTCAAAGCACTAAAAACATTTATTTTCAAGCAAATAAATCAGAGGAATGCAATTGATGATGCCATAACGGAACTTTATTAAAAGTTACCTGACCAGAGTCAGTCCATCAAGTTAGTTGGCAAGATGTACCATTCATTTCTCAATTCAGTAGTTTTTCAAGTAAAAAACTTTAAACAATTTGCATGCAAAATTTTTAACTTCAATTAGTACATATGATTATCCATAAGAAACAAGCTTGCACATCATACCAATGAAACATGTATCCATGCCTCATCAAGAGGAGCTGAGAAGTCACCAAACCGGTTAATTCCTTTTCTATCACCAAGAGCCTGTAGCAGTGCCTGTAGACAAAGTAAGATTACTCTATGAAATTTAAATACCAGCCAAGGCTAAATAAGTGCAACATCCAAAAATAAAATCACTAAAGCAACAAACACGAATTGCCACATTCCTGCGCAACCAAACAATCTAAACTTATCCAGAGTACTGCATCATATTTAAACATACAAGTTACTCTATAATACAACAGCATAACATTAAAATTACCATATTACAAAGATATGCGGCTGCTATTAAGTAAAGCAGATGACGAAATTCAGTTCTTGGGGACTGGGGTGTATAACATATCTGACCTTGGTATGTAAATCAGAAATAAAGGCTTCAACTTTCAATCTAAACAGACAAAATGCAAAATCAAAACCATAGAATGGTAGAGAATTTGGAATGATACCGTTCCAATGGCGAGGGCAACATCTTCATTTGTGTGATGATCATCAATGTGAATGTCACC